TGAATATGAAGAGGAAATACGAAGGTATTCGAGCTGACAGGAATGAGGAGACAGAAAATTAGTCCCATCTACCTCAATAATTTCATTCTTTTCTATTGAATTAATTCTGAATTACCAGATTAGGACTTCAGGGGATACAGACAAAAGGACTGGGCTGCTTGAGCTTTATGTCGTTACAAGCTCTGTCTGAATAAAGAAGCCTAGGCTTGGGGTTTTATTTAATGGAAAAAAAACCAAAAAAACCCCAAAAGACAAACAAACAAACAAAAAAATCCCCACAAAAACAAACCAAACAAAAAACACTTCCAGCGAAAAACAGAGAAAATTGTAATATTGGTGCTGCTTTATTCTTACACTGACCATAAGATTTTTTTTTTAATCTCATGAATGCCAGCTGCTTTCTTTGTATCACTAGTAATGTTGACTGTCATCAAAGTCTTGAGAAAAGACATCAGCAACAATTTCCTAAGATGGAACCAAAGCGACCTCTGTATGTCCCCACTGCACTTCAGTGGAAAGGGAGACCCCTTAGGTAAAAGGAAAAACCTGACAATTTTCCCAGATGTCTGAAGAATGGAATGCAGTCTGTACTTCAAATTGAGCAGTGGGGTTGGAGAAATGTGAGGCAGGATATAAATATAGCAGAATACTTTCCCTTGGATAATCTGCAGGAGGGAAATGAAAGGTCATATTTAGCCAAGAGACAGAAAAAGCATTATCTGCATTTCAGGAATGGCTTTCACACAAACTTAGGTTTTTGAATTGTCCTGCCTTCAGGATATGCAATGTTAATTGTACTTGGAGGAGGCAGTTATAAATTGAGTGGCTAGAAAGGTCATCTGCTTGTTCTTCTGACTTAGTTATGAGCACAGAAAGGAGATATCTTTACTTGGCATACACACAGAGTAAGCAGATTTCATTTTGCAGTAGAGAGCTTAAAAAGAACTGTGTAGAGAGAAGTTCCCATTTTGCAAAGGGTTTTGACATTTCAGAATCTTGCTTAATTGTCAGTTGGATGAAAAAAACCCCAGTATATGGAAGTTAGTGACAGTAAATTCCTCTTTGTCCACTGTTTGTTCTCATGATCTCAAAAAATATTGGAAGTGTGCCTGATGATATTGCAGAATATTAAATAGACCTGAAATGTATATTCTCAAACAAGAACTCCCCTTATGATATTATTCCAATTCCCTACTCCCACATTTTTCCTCCAAAAAGGCTGTTGAAAACAATCTGGTTTATATTTAAGTGTCAGGAGGAGCAGATCTGATTTTATTAAGTTTTTCCTGACAGCTCCTGTTGACACTTTGCTAATATCTGTTACCAGCCATACATTACATTTTTATAAGGAGAAAGATGGAAATTACTGTCTTCTAAGAGAGGAAAAAATATTTCCTTGTCGATTTCTGTTCTTTCTTGTCAAAAGACATAATTCTTCCCAGGTATGCCCTACCAAAAGCATTGAAGGATCACCTGCATCTCTCATTGACCCCAGAGCAAAACTCTGACTTGAGTGCCAAGGACTGGCCCTCCCAGAGTCATCAACTCTGTCAGGAAAGATTGAGTAATGTGTGAAGTGAGGAAACCAACCTGTGAGTCAGGCAAATCACCTCCACTCGTCTTGTTAATTTTGATGGCAGAAGGTGAAAAGGCAGCTCCCTAGAGTCAAACTGCTGGCAGGGTGGAGAAAAGCTGGCTCACCAAAGCACTGCTCCTGGAAGAAGGATGCATGGTAGGACAGGAGCAGAGATCAGCAAGCTCCTGGAGGGCAGGAATTCCAAAGTGCACTGAGTGGGAATTAAGCAGCATGCTGCCTTTGCCACATCAGAGGCCTTGTGTTCACCCTGGTGTGTTTTTATTACCCCTTTGAAGCAATACACTGATTGTAACATAGAGATCAACAAACAGTCCTGTAGTTTCTAATGTTCATTGTGCAATGTGTGTTTTCAGAGCTTAGTCAGTGCTGGAGGGAAGTGTCCAGGTTGTTTCACCGGTCTGGCACAGCAGTATTCCCTGCAGAATCCCTGAACTGCAAAAGTCTCCCCCTCCTAAGAGAGAGTAAAGTCCAAGGAGAAACAGGAGCATAACTGACCTTAAAAGTGTTTTTTGACCATTTCACTCTGCAGAGGAGCTGAAAACCAAAAGAGGAGCTTAAAATCAAAGTGAGAATCTGCAAGGCAGGATAAAAGGGCATCCAGGGCTGTCCTCTCCCACAGGAGGCACCTTCTGCATATTGATCAGCCTTTTCCTTCCCTGTGTTGTCTTTCTCTGGATTTAAGCACCTCTGGCAGCAACAGCTTTGGGGTTTAGTGGAGCTCTGGCTCCCTACGGGGCTTCTGTCAAACTCAAACCAGGAGCTTCCTCAGGGCCACTCACAGCTGTGGCAGCTTCTGCTGTCCCCACCAGAGTGACTGGCAGTCGGTGCTGGCAGCTGCCAGCTCAGCCAGCAGCAAGGGCAGACCAGATAATCAGCACAAATTACCCTCTCAGGTCTTTGGACAAATGACATTTGTATACAAGACCAGCAAGACCTTAAGAATATTGGTTCTTTGACAGAAAGGGGAAAAGAACAGGAAAATAAGGATGATAGCAGACCTTCCAGTAGTGACATCCCTGAAGCTTAACTTTAATCTGACATTGAAATACATCCAAATTCAACTAGAAGACAAGAAACTACAAAATAAATTCTTCTTGTCATTAATTATACATAAGCTGTAGCTGTCCTCACAAGTCAGTTTCTAGGTATAGAAAACCTTAAATGATGCCTCCCTCATTTAAGTAAAATGATCCAATTGTAAAGACATTTACTCTATCTGTCACTTCTGGATACCAAGCAGTTTAACTTTTATAAAGAAAGAGTTCTTAGCTGCTTCTCAAGAAAACTGAGCAGCTTCAGACCCTTTCTTTCCTTCAGAACTCTGAAACAATTAGCAAGAACACTTAATGATCATGATTAGTGGTCATCTAGGGGAGTGACTCTGATGTCTTGTCACTGCTTCCTGTTTGTGTCACAGCTGTTCCCTGAGCCACGTCACCTTCCAGGCCAAAAGACACGTCTGGTTATTTTTGTCATCGAGTTTAACAGAGAGCACCTCCCTATGCATTCCAAACATTAATTCCCTTGTCACTTTGAGCCTCAGTGGAAGCTTAGAATGAATTTGTCACGCACAGACCAAGTGAGCACTTTTATAATTAGAGATATTACCTTATCACAGATAAAAGAATTTAGCCAATCTTAGGTGCAAGGGAGAAACAGAGGCATCATCGAGAATAACAGAGAAGGAACTGCACGGACTGTGCTTTAGATAATGTGCACTCATGTCAGCGCTGCAGGAGGTGAGCAGAGCAGTAGTTCGCATATTCTGCAATTGCTTATTAACAGCACATGATGCAAATTAGGCTTTCCTAGTCAAATGCTGGGAGTGTGCAGGAAAGAGAAATGATCATAGAGTTTGGAGTCAATATAGATTCTTAATGCTCTGTCAGCTAACGAAATTTTATTTCAGTGCTTTTAACAGCTTCAAAGGCAAAGTGTTCCCAAATGAGTAACTGGACATTCACTTGGAAGCAGGAGGGGTTCCTATGAAGGTATTTATTCCTATGGAGGTATTTAGCAATAGTCTCTTCCTTTTTCATCTTTAAAATCTAAGATGTTGTTTTCACACCAGACCAGCTGAACTACTGGGAGCTCTCAGAAGGCTGAGGGAGTCTCAGGTCACAGACCAGATGTCACCAGTTTCAACACACAAAAGGCACTGGCTGGGAAAGGCTGAGGGGAAGAGGCAGAGGTTGGAGGGATCTCTGGAGGTCACCCAGTCCAACCCCCTGCCCAGGCAGGGTCATCCAGAGCAGTGACACAGAACACATCCAGGTGGGTCTGGAATGTCTCCAGAGAGGGAACTCTGTGTCCTCCCTGGGCAGCTGCTCCAGAGCTCTGCCAGCCTCAATGGGAAGAAATTCTTCCTCATGTTGAGGTGGAACTTCTTGTGTTTTATGTCATGGTCGTTGCTTCCTCATCCTGATGCTGGGCACCACTGAAGAGTCTGGCACTGTTTAAAAAGGAGCCTGTACAGCAGTGGGGGGAAATGTTGAGTTTTAATCTGTGAAATAGTTAACAGTTTACAGGCAAACTCTGGGTGATGCCATGTGTTAGAAAAAACAATCAGGAGTTTAGGGCTTGCCATACTTTAGTGCTGTCAGACATGGAGAAGGAAGTTAGCAGAGCCTGGGAGGGAAATTTATTGTTGAGAACTGAATTTATAAACCACATTACATAAAGCAGAGATGCCCTATCTGGGAAAAAGATAATAAAAAGACTGGAAAATGCAGACTAATTAGCATGAGAAGCGAGAAATCAATTACGAATAGAAGACCGAATCCTAATTAATGATGAGAACTATGTGAATTGTAAGCCAATGAACACGAATCTCTTTGCCTACAGGTATAAATAGGTAAGTGCTTTGATGACTGACACGCATGTTGTGGGGAGCCATCCCCATGTTCCTTGGACGCTCAGTCGTTAATGCCGACTGTCTACCAAACAGGTTGGAGAGTTTATTTTTATTTCCCCGTGCTCGGTGGTGGGGTGTGCGGGCGGGGGCCGGGCCCGGACCCCGCTGAGGGGCGGCCCGGCCAGGATCGGATCCCATTGAGGAGCGGCTTCGCCGGGCTCGGACCCGGACCCCGCTGAGGGGCGGTCCCGCCAGGATCGGGCTCGGACCCCGCTGAGGGGCGGTCCCGCCAGGATCGGGCTCGGACCCCGCTGAGGGGCGGTCCCGCCAGGATCGGGCTCGGACCCCGCTGAAGGGCGGCCCCGCCAGGATCGGGCTCGGACCCCGCTGAGGGGCGGCCCCGCCGGGCTCGGACCCGGACCCCGCTGAGGGGCGGTCCCGTCAGGATCGGGCTCGGACCCGGACCCCGCTGAGGGGCGGTCCCGTCGGGCTCCGGCTCCGCTGAGGGGCGGCCCCGCCGCGCTCGCTCGGTTGCCACAGCGACGGCGACGCTGCAGCCATGTCGGATCTGGACTCCGAGGATGCCGGCGAGTCCGGGGAGGCCGTGGGAGACATCGGGGTCCGCGAGGGCCCGGGAGGAGCGGGCGGACATTGGGGAAGGGAAAGGGAACATCCCCGGGGGTGAGGCGCTCAGTCGGGGCGGGCTGGGCAGAGCTCCTGAGGGGCAGCCCCGAGGGCACGGGGGTCTCGGGAGTGCTGCTGTGGCATTTCAGGTGCCACCCGCCCGGCTTTTAACACGGGTTTGAAACAACGCACCCACGCTTTTTAGTTGTGCCAAGAAGCCTCGGGATGCCAGGGTCTGACTGAAGCCGAACTGGAGCAGCTTTCCCCAAGCACCTGTTCCCTCTGATGAGGTTGGATTCTGCCAGGCCCAGTCCTTTAACCATTGTCCCTTCGCGTTTGTCAGGAGTACGAAGGCGATCGCAATTCCGAAGGGCAGCGGCATGGATTTGGGAAGGCACGGCTGCCCAATGGTGACACCTACGAAGGGCAATACGAGTACGGTTTGAGGAGTGGACATGTAAGACACCGACCCTGGTTGTGGTTCTGCTTCTGCAGTTTGGGCTCTGTATTAAAACAAGGGTGAGAACTGACGGGTATTTCATTTGTACCAAATGTGTTTCAGGGGACCTACAGGTTTAAAAACGGTGCTCTCTACACCGGGAACTACCTTCAAAACGAAAAGCACGGCAAAGGTGTATTTTTTTATCCAGATGGATCAAAATATGCAGGTAAAGCAATGAGCACAGTTGCAAGGATTTCTGTAGCCAAAAGGACACATTCCCCCCTTACTCCTCCCCCCACAAATGGAAAGAGAGTGTGATTTGGAGAATGTCTTATTTTAAGAAGATACAAGAAGATATGAGATATTTTCCAAGATATATTGCTACAATATATTTTTCTTTTATTCCTTTTTTAGTAATAGTTCCGAGAAGCTTGGGATTTATTTATGGGGATTTATGTTAGGACACTTACTAGATCTATCGTTAAAAAAATAGGCTGCTTATTAGAGCCCTTATTTAGGAATTGGGACACCTGAAGTTTGAAGAAGTTGAAATTCAGTTTCCCTGCCTGCCGGAGAGTACCTGAAACAATCAGAATCTGTCAGTTAAGTTTCAAAGGACAATATTTCCCCCCTCATTTCTAAGCTAGGATACAAACCATCTAGCATCCTTCTGAATATATGTGCACCAACACTGACAGGACAACTTCAGCAAATGAGTCAATTAAAGTAGCTCCTCTTTAAATTTGTGTGGAAATGTCACATTATCTAATGCAACTGTAATACATTACCCAATTTAAAGATCGGGCTGGGTTGTTATGTGTTCATAATGATAATAGAGAGTGATAATGGAGACAGATAATTATGGAAAAATTGAAAGGGAGGTCAGGCAGCAGCATAAATACTTGTGGAGAGGAACAGACTGATGAAAAAAGAGCAAGGGACTCTATTTTAGAGTAAGGAGTATTGTAAGGATTAGTGAGGAGTCCCAGCAGTGCCACAGCTGTCTTTTCCTTCTTTAATACTTGTAAGATAATGTTACAAACGGGCCAGTGTATCACACAACGAAATAAACTAGATCTCACACTGCTTTTATCCTTTTGTCCTTGAAGGAGACTGGGTGCATGACCAGAAACAGGGCTATGGAGAATATCTGTATGCAAATGGAGACACCTACACTGGAGAATGGGCTAACAATAAGAGGTTTGTTTTGTTCTCACAGGAATGTTTCAAGTCACCCAATGGCATTAAAATGCAAATATTATTTTCAGAGCATGTCTGACTGCAGCAAATTAAATCCGGGGGTGACCTTGGCAATTTAGTCCAGCTTGAGTGGTTTCAGCTGCTTAATTAATACAGTTTTAATACCTTAAACAGCAGCCTAAATTCTTAATATTCACTGGTATAAAACAAAATAATTATCTTCTCCCTAGGCATGGGCAAGGCACATATGTCTATAAAGACACAGGATCTAAGTATGTTGGTTGTTGGGTAAATGGAATCCAGGATGGACCAGCTGAACTTATCCACCTAAACCACAGATTTAAGGGCAGGTTTCTCAATGGAAAGGTAAGTGTGCAGGAATGCTTTCTAGTCATCTGAACAGTTAGCATGGAATTGCCTTAATGTGACCTATTTCAACTTAAAATAAGAAGCTAGGATTCTGATCTTTTGTAGTATTTCCTGTACCATGAGTGTAACACATGAAACTGAATTATTCTGTGGGACTTAATGCCAAGTTTCTTCACAACGTTGCTTTCAAACTGTAGTGTTACTATTGTATGGAATTTGTAGTGAAGGATATTTTACATTTCTGTGCTTAGAATGGATTAACTGTTTAGTTCTCCTGATGTTTTTGTGTTTTTATGCAGCCTTTAGGTCACGGAAAATTCATCTTTGATATTGGATGTGAGCAGCATGGTGAATACATACAACCAGTGCAGGTAAAAGAAATAGTGCAAGTTGTAGTGGGTATCAAAGGACTCAGTAATTCAAATCTATTGTTGAGGAATATATAAAATGCCTCATAGATTGTGAAGTTAAAATAGATCTTGTGAATCAAAAAGGGTGGAAACTCATGCATTCTTAAGAACTAAATGAGGTTTCATTTTGCTTTTTTAAAAAATGTTCTCTACTATGTAAGCTTTGAAAAATACAAGGTGTGATTTTGCACTGTTTGCAGACATTAGTATTTTCTGATTAAAAATAATCAGGACCTTCTCAAAACATTTGAAGCTTCAAATCACAGAGGAATATAAACATATTTGTATGCACATTTAGCCTCTACTGCATTTTCTCTGAAAACCAGAAAACAGTGTTTTTTGTATTTCTGAGCTGCTTACTGCTATGCATACAAATGGTAATTTCCAGCAGAGACATGTTTGGAAAATATGTCCTATTGTTGTTCTGGTCATGTTAGGAGCTTAATATTTATGGCTTCTAATAATTGTAGGGAGTGGTTGGGATCAAAATCTGTTTTCCCTTCTCTATGCATGAATGTTTTGAAACATTTCTGATTGATACCATGCAAAAATAGCTACAGAAGTAAGAAATATATTTTAATATTGCTATTTGATTTCAAGAAAAATTGCCACATTTTAGCTTAGAGTTTGCTGCCTTTGTTGTCTGACACATTAGTTCCTGTTACATACTCTTTGAAAACTCTGTGATGTAGCAATCATTTCTGAAGCATAAAATAATAATCATCAAAATCCTATCAATTGTGATAGAGATTTTCAAAGCTTGGAGACTGTTTTGTTTTTTTCTGGCTAAAAGCAAGAGATCTTCAAATTAATACAAATTCATAGGAGTATCCAGAGTAATGTGTGTTTCCTTAGTTCAGTTGGGAGTTCATGGATTAGTTTTTAAAGCCAGGGACCGTGCTGTCACTAAAGTAAGATTAAATTTTGCCCTTTTGCTTTAGTTGAAGTAACAAATCTCATTTTAAAAAAAGAGAAGAAATTAGCTGATAATACAGACAATGATTCAATTATTGACTCATATTTGTACGAAAAACATGATTTTTTTTAAATTTAAAAAATATTTTCACATTTCAAAACCGTAAGCTCTGTGCACAACCTTACTGCTTCCTAGATCCTTTCAAATGTCCTCCCTAGGCAAAGACTGAGGCAGAAACAGCTGTTTTTTCTGTCTGTTTCTGTGTGAGACAGACAGTGCAGCATCCACCAGACAGAGCATCAGGTATCAATCATCAGTTGATCAGGGTTCAGAGTGTAGTTCTTGTCCAAGATTTGCAGCTACTGAAGTTCCTCCACCTCTAAATCCCAGATAAGGAGGTTTTGTAGATTAACCCATCATCTTAGTTACTCTCTGTAGGATGAGATACTGGATTTCATTAATTCTCTTCTAGGAAAAAGATGAGGAGGAAGAAGAGGAGGAACCACAATTACCTCTGGAACCAATATGGAAAGTGTCAGAAATTACCAAAATAACACCCTGGTCTCCCCATGATGAGGAGCTGCTACGCCCCAGAGAAATAGCAGAGGCAGCAGGTGCAGTAGCTGAAGAGAAAATTCCATCAGTTATGGGTTTGTTCTGGAAACATCTGGAAACTCCATGCTTTGACCATGGTGACCCTTGTTTTATGGGTTTAATATCAAGTGATGAGAGAGGGGTTTTGTTTTGTTTTGTTTTGTTTTTCCATGATTTTCCATGTATTGAATAGTTGGAACTTCCAAGTCCATTCATAAACTGCACAATATGTTTGTATCTGTTTTATTTCACATAGTATGAGATACAACTGTCTCGAGAAGCCTGTGAGTTATTTTGCTCTGTATCATGGCTTATTATACAAACTTGATTATAAACAGAAGATTTTGTGGGATTTCTCATGTGAACAACAACTGCAGCCTTCAGTAGGAGTTAGGAGCTATTACATGAAAACAAAGGCTAAGTGCAAATTTGTAAAATCTGTTTTCTTTGGTATTTCTAATTTCATTCAGTCACTGAAGAGGGTGGGGATCACCCAGCAAGTGCTACAGGAGGGGAAGGTGAGGAAAGAAGAGAGGAAGAAGTAAATCCAAGTCAGGAGGATGAAGGTGAGAGATGGGGCATGTGTGCTCATTCTTTAATTAGCAGTCAGGGTTTGAAATTGTGGATGTCAATCAGCTAAAGCCATGCTGCTGCTGGGAGGCAATGGGAATCTCTGCCTTTCATAAGGAGAGCATTCCTCTGGAGAGATAAACTATGAGAAGTTAAATTCATATACTGCAACAGAACAAATTAAAAGTGACACTTCTGTGCATGTACACTTGACAGCACTTGCAGAGCTGAATTTGTAAGAGATTGCATTTCCAAACTGTTGGGGGTTTTTTTAAACAAAAATGAAAGTAAATATGCCAGATCCTGAGAATTTCAGGGAGTTCTGAGCTCTTTACTTTCATGAATGCAACTGTGTATTCTTAATTCTCTCAATTGTAGTCCAAAAGCAGGCAAAACAAATATGAAGAAACAAATTTTAGGTGTTGTTATGCATTCTGGTTTGAATAGTCTCTGGTTGGTTTGTTTCTCCTGCAAACCAAGGAGATTTGAAATTCAGGTGCTCAGGTTTTCCTCCAGGCTGTTCCAAAGCCTGTTTTAAATATACAATTACAAGAAGCAAAAGGGATGCATCCATGTTTACTCATATTTAGCTTATAAGTCTCTAACTAATTGTGTTCTTTGTATTTATTGTTAAAATTTACAAGCTTGCCTATCTGATATGAAAATATCAGATAAATTTATCCATTTGTAATCAGCCCATTTTACAATAAATCCAAGACAGTCACTGTCTTTAGGGATTAGAAAATCTCTTGAACTATATGAAAATGCCTGGAGGTGTACACTAAACGTTTATGTCAGCTCTTGTAGTTTTCAGTTTATTTCCTTTTAATTTTCACCTCTCAATGTGCTCTCCAGCTTCAGTGCAGAACAAGCAGCTGGCTGACCCGATGTGTAGGACTGACATCTTACAGGATCCCTGAGTTGGGGTCAAATCCAGCTGAAATCTCAACAGATTATAGCTCTGCTTTGGATTTGGCAAAAGTGCATTGAGCCTGGTTTGTCTCAAAGACCCTTAAACTCAAATAACCACTTGTATTGGACTTGATTCTAATAAATTTTCTGGCCCACCACAACAAAGCAGTACTGGTTTTCCCAGGGGCTTTTCTAGGGTGTTTTTGAGAACAAATGAGATCAGGTATCTGTCAGATATGCAACAGAGACAGATACTAATGCCTGAAAACACAGCAAGTGATAGATGTACACCAAGTTCCCTCCAACTCTTTATTTCCAGAATCAAGGAGTTGGATGATTTTAAACATTTTTCAGCATAGGTTTCCATCCATAATTAATGAGGCAACATATTGTTCACCTTGTCTTTATGTTTAGCAAGATTAAGTTACAGGAAGAGGGAATGATTTGAAGAAAATATGCATCCTGTGAAGAGCAGATATAACAAAATCTCTTTTCTTTGCAGCCTGGTATTCCCTGCCCCTTTACCATAATTCTTTTTCCACAGAGAAATTCCCTCTTTCTTATTCTGCATTCCTTATGATATCATCTAACCAGGAGACATTCTTTGGCTGTTCAGAGTTCCACAGGGGCTGTCTGCCAGCTGACAAACAATGTAAACAACTTCAGTTGAAGTATTGGCATTGAAAGGCAGCCAGTGAGGACTGAAGCAGACAGCAAAGTTCTAGAGTTATGTTTTAGATTACTGAGATTACTTTCCAGTGTTTTGTAATAAAATGCATCTCTATGCTCTGTCTTTCCTTCTACTCCCCAGAAACTACTGATTTAGGAGGATGAACTTGAGAAAACAGAGGAATTGGGTACAACTGAAAGAAAAGACCCCAAAAAATGAAATTTCAAAGTAGATAATTTAGTGTGGTAAGCCTGCAATATTTTTATTTGTAAAAGGGTGTGTTAAGATGCTTTGAATAAACATTTCTGTCAGTGTTGTCTGGAATGTGTATCTTTGGACCTTTTATAATCTCAGAGTCCCACAGCAGCTTCCTTTATTCCATGTAGCCAGTAATGAGGTGTCAAATTCAGTGTGGAATTATTCTGGATTCAGGAAGCTATGAAGCTGTGTTCTCGCAACTTAATCTTCTACTGCTGGTAGCTGCTGTCTTTTTTGAACCCTGCCTGTGGGCACAGAGACCTGGGGGTCTTGCTAGTGAAGACAGAGGCAGCAGTGGACTTCCCAGTTCTCTCCATTTTCCTGTCACTAGGGCACCATTCTAGGCCTATGCTTTCTTTGTTTATTTTGCTGCTGTCCTTGCATCTGTAGAAGCTCTTCTTGTTGCCCTAAATCTTCCCTTGCCAGTTTGAACTCCAACTGATTTTTTTATCCTAACACACTGGTGCAGTGTTTTTTAATTCTTCATTTTTAGGCTGGTTTTCTTTTTGCTTTCTGTATACTACTGGTTTGGTTTGGTTTGGTTTGGTTTGGTTTGGTTTGGTTTGGTTTGGTTTGGTTTGGTTTGGTTTGGTTTGTTGCAGCTCAGTCCCAAGATCCTTCTTTACCATGTGTCTTCCTTAAGCTGTTTCAAAGACACTCAGCTGATTGGGATGAGGAGATGGCTCTGTAACAAATTCCTGGCCACATCATCATAATGAACATCTGTGATAAGATCTTAGCAAAAAATGTTGTCTGTAAACAGAACAGTTTCATGCATTCAAGCAGCTTCTTCTCATGAAGGAAAACTCTCCTCCAAATTTTACCTTTCTGTCTGTATTAATGAGCCCTTCATTCATTGGAGAGTTCTGGTTATGTGAGCTGTCCCACTGTGTTTCAGTTTTCCCAAGGATGTTACCATTCTGCATCTGAAGCAATTCCTAGTTCCTCCTTTTCCCAGTGTTATACATATACTCTAAGGCAGGCTCCCTTTTGAGTTGTTTTGTCTTCATGATGAATATCTTGCTACCATCACCCTGCTCCATTTACGTAGCAACCCTGAACTTAATTCCTTAATGTAAGCAGTTCTTGCCATCCTCCAAGATCCCAAGTTTCTCCTCATCAGATTCTCAAACCTGTTGGAAAACACACTCTTCCTTTGTTGCTCAAAGAGGGATCCACAGTGATTAAAGCTGAAGCAGGAGCACCATGCTCCTATGGCTACTGAGATAGCCAAGAGGTGGCAAAGGCAGCAACTTCACTGGCCCTGTTCAGCTTCCTGTCCCCTGCAGCTGTGCTGAGGGTGAGCTGGATCCACTGTCTGTGTCATTGGGGAAGCCATTCGAGAGCCCCAGGGCCTCTCTCAGGTGGAAGCAGCTCCTGGATGTCTCTGCGCTAGAGCATGACAGAGCTGGAATAGGACAAAGGGAACCCCAATTCCCAGCCACCCAGCCCTTTGGCCAGCTGGCTGAACACCAGGCCCTCAATGGGCATTCAGTGATGGCAGTGGGTGGCTCAATCCTGACTCTGACAGAGACTGAGGAGGAGGAGGCCTTTGTCAATGAGGAGGAAGAGTAGGAATCTGACCTGGATCATGAGCTTTCCCAGTGGGGAGATGTTAGGAGCTACCAAGAGGTTTCTGACTGGGAAGGGTCTCTTGAGCAAGAGCTCTCCCAAGGAGGTGTTAGTAGCTGTGGAGAACTCTCCAGCTGGGATGAGGAGAGCAGGAGCTGTGCCAGGGAGAAGCCCTTCACTACCAAGCGTTTTCTGACTGGGAAGAACGCATGGAGCCAGGGCTGTCCCAAGGAGCAGTCGGTAGCTCCCAGAACCGTCTGACTGGGAAGACTGTTGGCCAAGAGCTTTCTGAAGAGAAGGAGTTAGAATAAGAAAAGCAATGAGAAGAACAAGAATTACTAAGATGAAGAAAAAGAAATACTAGTAATAGTAAATAAGAATAATAAGATGAAGAAAAAGATGAAATTGTAGTAGTAGTAAATAATAATACCAAAATCCACACCTTCTAGAATCACAGAATGAAGGGGAGGGCCTTAAAGATCAACTAATTCCAGCTGATTGTCTTCTCTCTCTCCCTCCCTCTCTCTCTCTCTCTCTCTCTCTTTCTCTTTAAGACCTTTTTGCTATTTCTTTCTATATCTCTACCTCCCCTTTCTTGTTAAATAAAATCCATGTTAAATAAAATCCGTATGTTGTCCTCATATGGTCTCCTTTGCACCTTCATTGGGGCAGAGGCATCTCTCCCTCATGGGCTCTTACAGCTGTGCAGGTCCCTTCCAGCTGCAAGCATTCCAGGATTCTGTCAGCTCCTCGCTTCCCTTTTCTTCTTGCCTCTGCTTCGAGCTGGGAATGTGCTTGGGAATGTCCAGCAAAGAAGCCTTTGCTGTCTGCTCTGGGAGCCCACACGGCTTTGGGACCTTGTCACCTGCACCTGCACAGCAGAACCAGCACCACAGGAGCCTCGGGAATTCCCCTCTGTGGTCCATGGCACACACTGCAATGGTCTGGAATTCCAGTTTCCAGCAAGGAAAATATGTTTCTGCCCTTTAAGTCAAAGCTCTTAAATGGCTGAAAGCCAAGTGGAGCAAGATCTTACAA